TTTTATTAAAAAGTAGAAGGAAAACTACTTGCCTGTAGCATTAGTTATCCATCAACTCTGATTATCTTATTTTCTCCTAATGTCTTAACAATGAAAAATGTAACAATAAACAATGTACTGTACAAAATACTAACTGAATCTATGCCAAGTTTAATAAAACAAAGAGCAAAATCTCTTTCAGCTGAATTGATCAATACTACCACGCACGCTTACGTTAAAGGTATCAGGCTAGAACCACTTTTATTCCTGATGATCATTTTTATTCAGCACCTTTGTACTACTTTAATTAGGGCTCTGTATTGCAAGCTAAAAAATCTACACCAGTAAAAGGAGTCACAGAGTAATTCATTACAAACCCACTTTGTAAAGCCACTTATATAATAGCACAGACATTCATCTAAAGAGAGGTTTAATGGGAATGCATACCTCAACAAAGTTTATGTTGAAGTAATGAAAAAAGACCTCTTGAAAATTAAAATGCCGTATGCATTAATGCTTTCTAATTTATGACAGAAGAATGAAAAGAATTATATACCTTCCACAAGTTAATACCACAATTAATGAATTCTTATCAACACCAGAGATCAGCTGTGCATTCTTCCTGAACAGAAGAATCCTAATGCCTGGGTATACACAGTACATAACTGGTTTACATATGGATGCATTTATTTACTTTGCTGCTATAATGGATAGCTGCTGTAAAAGCAGAAAGAAAGCATTTTGTCCAGGTTTTGCAGTTCACATAACCTTTGAGGATACTTAATTAACAGCCTGGGTTATATTCTTTTTCTACTTTAACATTTTCCAATAAAATACTTTTTTGACAGTATTTCAGTTTCTATCAAGGCTACATATTGCACACAGTATCATCGTAAATCTCTTGTCAAGATGTCTTTCAGTTCTTTCAGTGAAATTTTACGGAAGCATTGTATGGCTTTGGAATTTTGTTTATCTTTTATAGCAGCCATGACTGTAACATGGTCTTTCAGGAATAAAAAATAATGGATAGGTAGATAGGGATACTACTGACTAGCATAGTTTTCATATTGCCATAAGTAGCTAATAAGTTGAGCAAGGCTAGACTAGGAGCTGTAAGAACTCCAAGAAAAAACAAGTTAATTCTGTTTGGTGTTAAAAGGTGTTGGTGGAGCAGCAGGTATACAGTACAGTATTTTCCCTGGAGTTTTCAAATCAATGCCCTAGTAAAGTATTATAGGAGGAATTCTACTATATATGTATATTTGTAGGATAAAACCCTAACATGTTTAGGTAAATAAAATTGTAATATAATATTAAAATAGCAATACATGTAAAAATAAACTAGTTTGAGCTTCTAAATATAGAAAAGTCCAAATTTCAGTTTACTTTCTTCCAGACCTGTTTTTTCCATTTTAATTGCTGATGACTGCTGTCAAAAGTCCTAACATCAGAAGATAATGCCTGTGTTTGTTTAGACTGCCGTCCTTGGGATTAAATAGAAAACTCCTACATGAGACAAGAGGACCAATAACACATGGAGAACCATAATGTACAAAAATGTAATGTTTTAAAAAGCCAAAAGACTAAGTTATTAGGAAAAGAACATTTGCAGTCAGACTTTATCTGACAGATTACACACATGCCATTTTAACCCCATTAACAGAAATAATATATAATTCACTAATTAGACTATACATTTGGAAAACAAATCCATAATGAAAGATTGCATTCCTTTGAGACCACATAATACACAGCTGACACTATATTTTATAGTAAAATACTGTATTTTAACATGCAAAATTATTTGAATGTATAAATTCTGTATGCCTTGAAACAAATAGATTATTACAATATGCAAAGCAAGCTAGAAAAACAGTAGCTCACTGCAGTCTACACACTGGACAGAAGTTTTACACTTTGCACACTGAAATGTGGTCAGAAAAAGTTAGTCAACTGTGTGTTGCAACATGGACATTGTAATCTAACTGGGTTTCATTCCTGGATTAGTTGCACAGCCCAGCTTTGTCTAAACACATCCATAATATGTGCCTATTAAAATGGTGCCATTTTTTCCTCACAGGGTGCCTGAGATACAGTATTTACAACATGCAATCAAAGTAAGTCAACCATATTCTTCACTGTGCCATTAGCTACGTAGCAGCAAGGGAGACTCACATTTCTTTCTATTCCTTTAGCTGGATGCCTAAATAAATCATTAATTTTTTTCCTTAGTGAGGAGAGTTTGAAGTACGAACAGTACATCCATGTATCACTCCTCTCAAACATCTGAAAGAACACCTTGATTCAGTCATGACAGAAAAGCCTAGAAAACGAAAGCCTATCTTTTCTGATAAAATACGGGATTTTGGTAAATGTCCCCTGTGGGGAAGCAGATGCGTATTCTCTCAGTGTACTGTATCTCAGATTCTTTTACAAATAGGACATTGCAAGGCTTCATAACACTGTCAAAGCACAGCATTTCCGAGAATTTCTTTCTAACAATCAGCCTTTCATCTGATGCTGTTTTAGCATTACTGTATCTTTACTGTTTCACCTCACATTATGATCTTTGCTGATGTTTTTCTCTCTGCAAGCTTCTGCTGCCATTCACCACACTTACTGTAAGGTAACTGTAACCGAATAAAGATTCCACTCACTTCAGCCTGCTAGGTCCTTGTCTTTGTTCACTCCTTGCCCTTGTATGCTTTTTTGTCTTAGTTACCTAACTTCGAAAGATTTAATCAACCATTCCACAGTACAATTCCAATCACATAACACTATGAGATCATGTTTTGGACTTTGAATTAAAAATATGGGAAAATAACAGCATTCGAGATGGCTTAATTACAGAGATCTATGGCAGGGGATTTAGAACCATTTAAGGTCAACCGTCACACCACTGAGTAGTATTAAGAGCACTGCACTTAATACACAGAGTGCAGAAGCTTTCTGGCTCAGTGTCATGCTCTCCTACAATCTCTCCATCATGGACTGAACTCTTTATTTCCTTTTACGGACTTCACCGATTGGAAACGAAATGTTAGCTTCAAGTGGGAATGCAAACATATGCTGTTGAAAACCATGACTTAGCATACACAGGTCCTTGGTACATAAACACATCAGAGAGGGAGGAGGAAGAGACAAGGAAGCAATTCACTCTTGTCAACAAATTTTGCAACACTGGCTCACTCGAGGAGAAAAGTAACACCCAAAAAAGGATGAGTTCAAGCACGGATGGTTTTTCATATCTTGGATAACCACAGCTGAGGCCAACAATGTCTTTGTTGCATTTGCTTAATGGAATTTAAAGTCGAGATATTAAAATGCCTGCAACAAAATGCTTCCCAGACTGACAGAGAGGCTTTTCAAAACATATTCCCAGTATATATTAATAAGACCTTAAATTGTAAACGAGAACCAAACTTCATTTCTTAAACATTGGAGAATGTGTTAAAAGTGTATGACTGTGATACAGCACCGTAAAAGCAACGTAAGCTAATTTACTGCATATCTGGTACTTCCAAAGATTCTGTAGGACAATTTTACCTGCTCACAACTGTCCCTCAAAACAGTGCCAATTAACCTGAAAATTGCTAATGTAGTACAGCATTCATCTGTAAAAGTGAAGCAATTGATTAAACTAAAGGAACATCTTGGCAGGGGGTTCTGCTATGGATTATAGGGGCTTGTCAACATGGATTTGGTCTGATTTTTAAATAATTTTAATATTTGTTTATTATTATTATTATTATGCTTTCAACAGCAGCAATGGGCATAAACATAGGTCATACTGTAAGCAATAGGCATTCAAAGCCTATTCAATAGGCCATTCAATAAGAATTAAAATATTAATTCTTAAATTGTAAGCGATAAGCATTCAATGAAATTAGTGTCTTTGGACTGATTACCGGGTAATGGTTAAAAACCATAAAAGTATACATAAGCTGTGAAATGCTCAGAAGAGGGTGATGTAATTGGTGGAGTACCACAGGTATCTATATTAGGACCACTGTTCTTTCCAATTTACTGTACTGTATATAAACGAGATTCTGTACTTAAGTTTATAGATAGTACCAAACTATTTGGTTGAGCAACACTGTAAAGGCAGCAAGTGACCTTCAAAAAACAAGATTCAAGACTGCGCAAGCATCTGGGAGATAATATTTAATTTAGACGAGTGAAGAATGTTACGTGCACCTAGGAAAAACTATAGCTATAACTATAACACTGAGCCTCAAGAAACTATAAAAAAGACAAGACACACAGCATTTATATCTTCTAGACAATGTGGGAAAGGTGAACAATGTTATGATATACAGTCTATTTAAAATTGTAGAATTTAAGTCAAGTGATGCATGTTAAAAAGCACTAGTCAGTGTAAGATGGACCCCATTTAGAATATTGTCTGCAATGTTGTTCACCAAGTAACAAATTATTGCTCTGTAATCAGTTAAGAAAAGAACAACCAAATACTGGGGTTGAAAAGCTGCCCCATCCTGACATGGAACCAGGGGTTCTATGAGGGGACCTGATTAAAGCATTTAAAATCCTTAATATAATTTACAAACTCAATGTATTGGACTTCAGAATCTAGTAAAACACAAAGCAGAGGACACAAGTGGAAATTGTGTAACTGAAAGTGAGAACAGGAGGCAGTTTTTTTTACATGTATGGTTGTAGGAATTCAGAACAAGCTAACAAGCTGATAATCCTGGTTTCTTTCAAGAAATGGCTGGATGAGATCTTTGGATTAATTAGCTACTGTACTAGCAGCCCAATGAGCTTGACAGACCAAACGGCTTCTTCTCATTTGTAAGTTTTCTTATATTCTTTTGCTCCTTTCGAAAAAGCTTCACAGCTACACAGAAAATTAGTTCTAGTCAAGAAACTATGTTGATACATCTACTGTCATTTCCAGGCTACTAGAGGTCATGTAAATACTAGCAAGGGAAGTAAAAAGATGCTTTAAAAAAATCTGAAAAAATATAGCCCTGATTTTTCATTCGTCCTGTGTGACCTACCTTGGCCTTCCCAGTGCTCTGGAGGATGTGCACCAGCGCACAAGCCATTTCTTCTTTGTTTTTGACACTGAGCACAGGCTCCAGCACTGAGCACAGAACCATGTAGTTGTTGGTTGTATACTCTGCAAACTCCTTGTAGAGCTCCATGGGCAGGATACTCATGCTCTGGTAGCGCGACTTGATTCGGATCATGGGTCCAGAGGTCTTGCCCTTGTTGGGGTTTGGGGTGCTGACCGGGTACCACTTCTCCATGAACTGCCGTCCAGTGACCGCTGCAATGGGGATGTTCACCAGCCCCACGTAATTGTTCTTGTCTTTTTTTTTCTTTTTGTCCGTCTCCTTGTACAGGTGCACAGTGATGCTCTTGACAGCGGGCAGGTTATTGAACTCGAAGTGCTCGCCCCAGAACACGTTGTCTGTTTTGAGCTTGCAAGTAGTCCGTGCATAAAGAGTGTCATCCAAGCACAGTTCACAGAAGTATTTCTTCTTGGCAGGCAAGTCCTTGGCTTCAATAATCCATAGTTTCAGCATGTTCTCCACACGTCTGCTGTTGTCCTGTGGAAAGAAACAAACTTTTTGCACCACACACAGAACTTTCTATTCTAATTATTTTTTCATGTTTAAAAGTAGCCATTACTTAGGGTAATTTATTTTTTAAACAGATTTTTTCTTGTAAAGTAAACTTGACTCAGATGGTATTACTAATTATGCACAAACCATTGTTAAATTATATCCTTCAATCTGCATTAATAGACTCAGTTGCACTTGGGGCAGTATTAGGAATGGATCCTACAACAGTCACTTTCAAACTCTTCCTATTTTAAAGAAGAAGGATGATTGAAACAGATCTGTTGAAACAGATCTGCTCAGCCTTCAGACAGTGTTGAATTATAGCAAAGTGGAATGTGTAATAAAGCTTGAGATTTTTTTTTTCCAGGCTGGAAATTAAATGTTAATTATTTTATAAGAGCCAATTAATTTAGTTAGAAAGTTCCCAAATATGCAAAGATTTATAGCAGGCAATGGTTAATGTAATAACCAAAAAGATAAAACTCTATTTTAATTAGCCTGCAATTTGTTATATAATGCACTAATGAAAAAATGAAACAATTGGCTGATTTTTTGGGTTGTCCTATCAGCAGTAGCACTTTTATAAGGCAGACATTTTAGTGAAGAAGCTTTTTACATATTTTGTAGAGTACATTATACTCAGCCAATATGTAATAGTATTCTGATTAATTTTTTAATTAAACTCAGAGACACAAATAAGATAAGGTCACTTTACTGGCCATATACAATTTCTTGTATTAGGAATTTGTCTTTTCACATATTCCAACTTTCTCTCCATGAGACACACAGACAGAGAGAGAAGCTTGTGGTCAGAGCTCAGGGTCAGCCATTCATCCGGCACCCCTGCCCTGGAGCAGCTGGGGTTAAGGGCCTTGCTCAGGGGCCCAACAGAGTAGGATTCCTCTGCCGGCCACGGGATACGAACCAGCAACTTTCCAGCCACAGGTGCAGATCCTTAATGCAAAAGGATTTAGAAGGCTAACTTTAAGATTAACTTTAAGTCTTGTCATACAAGGTCTGATCAAACCAGTCATACAATAAATAAGCATGACTATATTTCAGACAGGAAGCACTATAGGAAAATTAGACATTCCTGCTGTTTCTGGGTTCCCCTCATTTTCAAATGACAGGGCTCTTGGCCATAAATATGGTCAAAAGAAGTAAAACATTTACATAAAGCACTAGTACAAAACTGAATTAGTAGCATTGTAATATTATGAAACAGAAGCATTAGTATATTATCATTGTAAGGTTGCAGGAACACTTGGAACCTGTCATTCTTTTATATGGCTTGGCAGTAAGCATTTGCTCTAAACCAAGCCTATTAAACATTAAACACTATGATTTGTGGACTCTAGAGTCCAGTACAGTCAGTCACCGTCATGTTGAGGCCAGACTGATCCATGTAGGGACCTGTAAAAGCCTTCAGGTCTACAGTCAATAGGTTCAAAGAAACTCTTTTTGTTTTTGATACAATGCCAGATTACGTCAAGTGCCAGCACTGAGCAGTTCTGTACACTGGAACTATTCAAGGGGTCAGTCACCCTTATAACATGCTTAAGCTTTTGATTTGGTTTTAAAAAAGGTCAAAACTGCATTGTGAAAAGAAACATGTTTTAGACCTTGATTGTGCCAGCTTTTGAATCCGGCGGAATCCTTTTATTTACTTTGTGCTATAGAGTGGGTAAACATCAAATTTTAAATAACTGGTTTTAAAGTCTCAATGGGCAATACATAATATCCTCAATAAAAATATCTGAATGTCTTTTGTTACATATATACCTAATAATATCCAGATTCTCAGAAAAACAACATCTTGCTTAGAAGTCTGAAGTGACAGAAATAGGGACATTTCTATAGAAACCTATAAGCCATTAATTGTTTTTTTCACGAAGGCTGACCACCCGCATACCATCATTGACACAATGTGCTTAGAGAATCTTTCTTCCATTAAAGCCACAAATGGATACATTTTAAAAGTCTGCATACAGAACGTGACACACAGCACCTCCACTCTTCAATGCTAGATTCACGTCATACCTTAACGGGGATATGCTGTAAGAGCCAATGTTTTTTCACTGTCTATTTTAATACAAAAGGCTTCAGTGGTTTAAAAACCTTACATACCTGTCCTAGGTTTTCATAACCTTATAGTCAAAGGAAGCCATAAAATCTTAAGGTAACCTCCAAAGTATATTTTCTACTGGTTCACAGTTAGTTCTTTAACACAAGTTTTTATTATAAAAACAAATATGACATAATTAGACATAACTGATAAAATTATTGCATCAGCAATGTTTTCTATTTAGAAAGCTGTAGTGAGAAAGTAGAAAAAAAGGAAAAACTATAGTAAAAATAACTCATTTAACTTGTAACACATTTCCAACAGGACCATCCAAAACTTATGGTATAATACTGGCTGTACGGTTGAGCTGAGAGAAATTAACATATGTAACTCCTGCCTTTCAACCTGTCTGGTTTTGCCTCATTAGAAGTGGGCCAGCAGGTAGGATTAACAATTTTATTCATCATGTTACTTCAACCTAAGCACTGAAGAGAGGAAGAAGTAGGGTCCAGTTCTGATAATGAACAAAATATTAACTTCTGGTTCTGCTGAGGAAGTCCAGACTCTTGTTAGGACTGGGGCAGAATCCAGTATTCATGAAGATCTGTAATCCCAAATTAAAGGACGTACTTTATGCTCAATTTAGTTTGGAACTACTGCATCTATTGTGGGCAAATGCCAAAATCTATAGCAGAGGAGGGGAAAAAAATGCATACTTAAACACTGTGTATTTTTGCTGAAATATGTAAATCGGTATTCTCTACATATAGCTTTTCTTTTCTGTGATCCTCAACATACAGTAGAGTGCTTGTGATATCATGTACCCACAGCTTAGGTAATGCTGGGGAATAAACTTCACTTGCACTGTGCCAGCTCAGCCAATTTCAGGTTCAGCACAAGCTCAGCTCAGACGCAGAATTACAGAGGTATCTAATCCCGGGAAACAGAGGAAGAAGGTAGTTCTGATGAAGAACAAAAATGTTAACTTCTGGTTCTGCTGAGGAAGTGCAGTCTCTGGTTAAGACTGGGGCAGAATCCAGCATTCAGAAAATCTTTCAATCATAAGTGAAAGGATGAACCGTGTGCTCAATTAAGTGTGGAACTACTGTATCTGCTGTGGGCAAAAGCCGAAATCTAAAGCAGAGGAGGGAAAAAACACTGCGTACAAAACCACTTCCATATATCACACCCATACAGGCTCAGGAAAATACAAACTGTAAACTGTGATTAAGATTACAGGAACTGTCTGGTCTGCACCATCCCTCTCCCCTCTTTTATATCCAGGAAGTATTTATTTACTTTGTTCGGGTGAACAGCCCTTCTCAGGTTTTCCATCCATTTATCTCTCTCAGCTGAAGATCGGCAGGAGAAACACTTGCTTCCAGCTGATGTTGTTACCTAAAAGAAAAGAGATGTGCATGAAGGTGCTTTAAATCCACTCAGAAACTATTCAGCTTGACTGAGTTTATTTATCAGCCAGCAGCCATGTCACCCTGCAACTCACAACTGGTTGTCCACCAGCAGGTGTGAGCCTGGTCAGTACCTGGGTGGGAGACCTCCTGGGAAAGGTAAGGTTGCTGCTGGAAGAGGTGTTAGTGGGGGCAGCAGGGGGCGCTCACCCTGTGGTGTATGTGGGTCCTAATGCCCCCAGTATAGTGACGGGGACACTAGACTGTAAAAAGGTGCCATCTCTTGGATGAGACGTAAAACCAAGGTCTTGAGTCTGTAGTCATTAAAAATCCCCGGTTGTTTCTCGAAAAGAGTAGAGGTGCTATACCGGCATCCTGGCCAAATTTCCCATTGGGCTATAGCAATCATGACCTCCTAATAATCCCCATCTATGAAGTGGCTTCATCACTGTGTTCTCCTCCCCACTGATAGCTGGTGTGTGGTGAGAGTACTGGTACATTACGGCTGCTGTCGCATCATCCAGGTGGGGCTGCACATTGGAGGTGGAGGGGAGTCCCCATTACCTGTAAAGTGCTTTGAGTGGAGTGTCCTTATACACAAAAGCACTATTTACTGTAAGTGTAAGGAACTATTATTACTACTGTCCTACTCCCCACCTCACAACCTTCACTCTTCTAATTCTGGTCTCCTATCTGTCACTTTATGGGTGACATGGCCTTCTCCTGTTATGCCCCCAAACTCTGGAACTCCTCTCAGAACTATCTCCTCACAGATATCAGAAAGTCATCTTCTCTTAACTCCTTCAAATGTAGACTCAAAACCGTCTTTAGAAGAGCCTTTACTTAAATGGTTCTGTTCTTTACCCCTCTGCTCCTACATGTATTCGGTGTCCCCATCTACTGTCTCCTCTCACTGTGTATTCTCATTGTTACGACCCCAAGTGTCTAGGGGCAAAGGGGTGTAACATTTAGGATAATTTTTGGAAGCAGGTGGGTTCTGGTGAGGGACTAGGAAGCGTTATATTAAGGGGTTGGTGCAAAAAGTGATAATTTTAAGGTGAATAAGTGACTGGTATGAAATAAGACACAGGGTAAGGGAACTAGAGTGGTGCCAAAGAAAAGAAAATAACAAACAAAATGGAGCTGGCTAGGAAAGTGAGGGAAAGCCAATCTGACTACAAAAGAAAACCCGAAACACACGGTCTTCGGCGTCTTCAACACCCTAGCTAACCTTCGCTAACTACCCAAAACCATACAAGACAAACAGTACTCACCCTTACTAACTAGTGTTACTTATACAAAATCAACTAAGTGTGTAGAGTGTACCCAACAACCTCACCTAACCTTATACACAAAAGTTCACACAAAAACACAAGTGAACTAGGAATACAAAATAAGGGAAAACGAGAGTAATCAATAGGAACAGGGTACAAAAGAACACAAAGGTTGAACATATAACACGTTAGGGCAAGGTAATGGCGAAACAAGGATAACACAAACAAACGAAAGTACAAAGAAGACGAACAGAAACAGACAAAAGCCAAAGCTATAAGAAAACACACACAAAGGCAAGGCAAGGCAAGGCAAGGCAAGGCAAAGCAAAGCAAAGCCGAGTGGGACCAAAGTCAGACAAAAGGCCTGTCCTTCCTGAAAACCTCAATGTTACTGAATAAGATGCTCTCTAATTGGCTGAGAGGCTGATTGATGATGATGTCATATGGAACAGTGGTGTAATGGTGGCTCAATGGGAGAGGTAAAACAATCAAGGTCAGAAGTGTGGAATATAACAACAAAGACACACACAGACCACACACTGGGACGTAACATCATTGTGCATATCTTGTGTATTTTTTTATTGTTGTTGTCATTCTGTAAAGTGTACCGTATTCGTTTTTTTTTATAATTATTACTACTATGTAGTATGAAATAACAGAAAACATGGACAAGTAGTACTATACTTATTTTCTAACAACTCAGAGTAGTTGAGGCGAACTCACTGCGCTAAACTGTTTAAAATCCACATTAGTATCGTTGCCAGACAAATCCATCTAGACCAACTGCCTCTGCAAAATGAGGCCTGCATTACAAAGCAGTGCATGTTCAATCCAGTTGGCAATTGACTTTAGTTTAATAGCTTTCTAAATCCCTCTAAATGTCCTTTTCTGAAGTTGCCACCAGCAAAGCCATGAAGAATGAAATGAGGCAAAGAATTCTTTAAGCTCAAAATGACACACTCATCCTCAGTCAAGCAATAAATAGAGTACTGTACCTGGGCATACAGGCAAAAGTAAACATAGAGAATAAAAGCTAGGATAAAAAAAATAGAAATAAAAACCTGTAAAACATGAAACTGAGATTAGCTGTGCTTTTTCCAGTCTCTTTTTCCCCATTACTCTGTTATTTTAAATAAATAAAAAGCAAGATATGCAAATCAAAAGGTAAAACAGAATCTTCACTGGTGGCAGGAGAAGCTTTTTCTTTGTAATCTGTATAAGCGAGTGCATTGCATTATAAAAATTCATCCTTCAGTGCCTAATGAAAATGCATATGCATTACTCATGCACCTGAAAGTCAAATAAAGCCTGAAGACATACAGTAGCTGCTTTGCTGTTATCATATGATATGCTTCCCTTCCCTGCTGAGGTAAGGCTAGAAATGAAGACTGAATGAGGGAAATTCCACCTTGTCCTCTTGCTGCCTGATAATGCTTCATGACCTCCAAAGGGATCACTACGCCGACGAGATTAGTATCATTAGACTAGACACTAGACTATGCATTATATTCCAAGTAAGTTTTTTAAATGTTGGAAACTCACATTTCTATTATTAATAATTGAACACTATTTTTCATTTTGTATGCAACCAGTTTGGAATTATCAAATGCTTATCAGTTCAGCTAAGGACATGTTGTCAGAACCATTTGTTATTTAATACTGTGAGCTACCAAAGTGTCTTACATAAGACTTAGCTATGCCTGGAGGATCTTCTAGGCATGGCACTCATTGACTGCCCATTCGAAGAAATCCTGGATAGCTAAGGATTTCGCGACCACAGTCGCATTCACCCAGTTGTGCACTGATCAGCAAATTGCTTGGCACTAGGCTCGAACCTGTGACATCTGGATCACAGAGCACAATCTCTGCTCTCTGAACACAATACAATGCATTGCTTGGGTTCTGATTAGAACATTGCCTGGGTTATGGCAATTCTCACCTTAATAATGTTTAATTTTAGCTGTGAAGTCGCTACCGAAATGGGTCCATCACATTGTTTATACTGTAAAGTATGGAATACAGTAGATAAACATTTTACTACTATCCAACTGCCATTTTAAAGATGGTACAGAAATAAATTGTGAAACGGAATACGTTCTGTTTTGCCAGCTCTTAGCAAAGGCAATTCTTACATTATTCACTTATTTATTCAGAAAAATAGCCAGGCCAGACCTTTGACATTTTCAGCGTATTGAAAAGCAAGGCAAGGCTGCCAGCAGTAGCACCCAAAGCCCCACATGGTTCACAGTACTGCTACGGGGTGAGATAGTATTGAAGATCACACGTCTTTACAGCACTGAAAAATAATCCAAGAATGAAACATGACAGTCAGAATAATGACTAGCACTGCCACTGTGTACTGGGGCCTGCTTGTTAATGCCTGGATAGGAGTTTGATGTAGGGCTGATAACTATGCAGCAATATCTTGTATCTGTTGAGCTGCTGAGTGTTTGCTTCTGTTTAGAAGAATAAATATGAAATCGAAAGACTGCAATCTTATAAAGAGAGGGTAATTTGCTTTCTGGGAGCTGTAATCAGTATTTTAGAAATCTATCAAAGTTTTATTTAAAATAAGTGATTCTGAGTAGAATACTAGCAGTAATGTATATACTGTAGCACATAATGTGCTTCACTGTTCCATGACAACCTAAAAAGGAAAGTAAAAATCCTATGAAAGACAAACTTGTTTTTATTGCTACCAAACATCTTGGTGCAACAAGGCTTATTGTTCACAGTGAGTCTAATAGAGACAGCAGTCTCTCAAATGCATTGAAATTCCTTGAGTCAGAGTACTGAGTTTTTGTGTAATGTGCTTGACACTCATTCTGGCAGTGTATGTCGGGGACATTGGGGTATGGCAGAGACGACAGCATAAATCTGAGGTTGGACTGCATAATTTACAGTGGCAGCATACCCAGAGCTTCTGTCCAAACAAGCATTAGCCAACTGTAAAGCTCCTTTAAAAAAAGCAAAAGAAATATTTGATTTAAATATATTCCAGATTTTATGGTATCTATAAATATTTAACCAAATTCTTTGATGTTTTTGAGATGTATTGCTTCAGCAAATGAAGACTTTGTGACTGGTTTTGTGAATGCTTTATTTCCTTAATAAAATTGCAAGCATTTCAAAGACAAGTAAAAGAAGCTAATGTTTTCAAAGAAAAGCTTTGATGGTACTGGACAGTGCTCTGTCATTTATTATACACTGAACATTTATTAAACAGGAAACCTCTTTATCAAACGCTGCAGCACAGTGGGGTTCGAAAATAATATTCTTTTTTAAATTCCCCCTTCCTGAGCTTTATACCGTTGACTGAAGAAAAACCTGTCATAAACAAAACTAGCCAGGAAACATAGCTAATAAGCAAGTCTAAAAAAGAACACTGAGCACACTGTCATTATTGCTACTGTATATACAGTACATACAGGCTAATCATAATAATAAGTATTTAGGTACAGTATAAGCTCAGCCATTTCATCAGGCTTTTATTATTTAATAACAATTAATTAATAATTGCTTGTACTTATATAGCGCTTTTCTGGACACTCCACTCAAAGTGGTTTACAGGTAATGGGGACTCCCCTCCACCACCACCAATGTGCAGCCCCACCTGGATGATGCGATGGTGGCCATACTGCACCAGTCCACTCCCCACACACCAGCTCTCACTGGGGAGGAGAACAGAGCAATGAAGCCAATTCAGAGATGGGGATTATTAAGATTGGTAAGGCCAAAGGGAAATTTTGGCCTGGACACCAGGGTAACACCCCTACTCTTTTAGAGAAACGCCCTGGGATTTTTAATGACCACAGAGTGTCTCCTCGGTTTTACGTCTCATCCAAAGGACAGCACCTTTTTACAAATATAGCGTCCATGTCAGTATACTGGGACGTTAGGACCCACATAGACCAAAGGGTGAGCGCCCCCTGCTGGCCCCACTTACACCTCTTCCAGCAGCAAACTTAGTTTGTCCCAGGTACAGGCCAGGCTCACACCTGCTGAGCTTCAGGGGGCTGCCAGTTGTGAGTTGCAGGGTGATATGGGTGCTTCTATGGTGTCTCCGTGGCTGTTTGGGATGTGCAGTATCAGACACATGATGACTTACCTCAAAGCAATAGTCCTGCCCCAGAATGCTGCTGTGCACAGGCTTAATTACAACCTCCTCCTCCATACTGAGATCCAGAGCTTCTACTGCACTGCTGGGGCTGAGCAAAGACTCGTGGGACCGTGATTCTTTCAGCCTCGGCATTAGATGTGATCTGAAAAGAAAGAAAACACTCTTGTTAGTCACTGAACACCCCCAGCAAGCCCTACAAAATTAACAACTGCACAATTCTTGCCTTGAGAGCCACCAAAGAATGCCTTCGCAAACACCACTTCATTATATGCATTTAATTTACAATAAGCACTTTGTAAAAATAATTTTTTACTTAATTTACTTAAAGCAGTGTACTTTGAGTGGAGATTAAAACAATATCCAAAGTGGGTTTTAAGTACAGTAACGGTTTTTGATTATTGAAATTGCCTTTTGTGTGTGGAGTTTATACCAGTATTTATAATAATTTTGCAGAAGCAAATATTATTTTTAATTCCCAAAATAACCATACAAGGCAACATGTCTTAAAGCTGTCATCCCATGAACATCTCAGGAAATCAGTCTCCCATTGCCATATTGTGAAGACGTATTTTCTAATTTGCCAGCAAATAAACTTGGCTGAATGTCTGAGTTCACAGCTGAAGGAAGTGACAGTTCTTCTTTCTCCATTTAGCTTGTATTTGTCATATTTTCAAGCCCAAACAGCTGAAGCCTCTTTCTTTTGATAGATAAGTCATTTTTTTTAAAGTCAGCAGTCTTTCATTTATCTGAACAAATCAAAAAAGTTTTTTTTTCCACAATCTTTGCAAAGCTGGCATCATACAGCAGCTTGCTGTTCATGTGTCAGTCTTTTTTAATGTAAAAAGGAAAAGAACATGTTTTTATGAAAACAGATTTTATTTGATTTAGTCTTAGACTCCCCAGAGGCAATACATGCAAATATTAAATGCTTCCAAGAGCATAAAACAGTATATTGGCAATTAAGAAACAATCCAATCACAGCAGTGGGCCCAGAAGATAAAAGTATCAGTATTAGACCAGTACTCACAATTATAGTAAGACTAATAAGCAGCCCTAATTTTTCCTATAGGAAAATCATAACAAAAATTCATCTCCAAACTAAAACTCTATAAGACACATCACACAAAATACAAAAGGACAAAATTCATTAATACCAAAATGTTTATATTAAAAGAAATTGGTGCGTTTTATTTAGTATGTTAGCTCTAGTTGACAATAATGGGATTTTACTATCAGGGTAATTTCATAATACGTACATACACACACATTGCACAGAAAAAAAAGAAATGCAATACTCAATTCCGAAGGTGAAATGTGAAAAATAGATATAAAAATCACAGAAATTGTGAACTAAAATACAGAACAAAGACTCATGGAATGTTTTTTGTTTGTTTGAAACATGGCAGACTGTCGATTTAAAAAACTTTACAAACTTAAAAACTTGTAAAACTTTACAAACTGTGCATAAGCACATTTCTGACAGTGCTGACATATAGACCTGATCAACCTCTGGATAGACTGCAGTGGGACATTCAGTTGTTCCTCATGTGCAGTTACAGTCAGCCAAGATTGGCCTGTTGCAGTTGTCTCCTATTGATGACCTGGTCCTACGGCTCTTCTACTGGACAGGAGAAAAGGCCGACTGCAACAAAACTTTGTAATTGGTTTCTTGGATTCTTCTATTGTGCTACTGGAAAAGTGATACTACTGGATTCAGTTGCTATTGGATCAAGGATTTTGTCAATGTATCACTGAGCAGCACAATCACCCTTAACCATTACTAACCTCTTTCTTGTGTTAAAGGAGTGATTCTGTGATTCTTTATCATCTCCAGCTAACCTCTGAATGTGTTTTGAGCAGATTATTTTCATGCAGATGGTGAGATGCAGTCATTCTGCTGATCCCAGGATATTTCTTCCTGGAATGTCTTGAGCCACTACAGTCTGGAAAGATTATGTGGATGGCTCAGGCAAATTTGATGGCCCTGAGCTAGTGGGGTTAACCTCTGCCTTCTAGGATAAAGCCTGTCCCTCACAGAGTCAGTTTCCTGGTTTCTCTGCATAGTCTGCTGATTGCTGAAACAGAGCTCGTCATTCTATGGGTGACTTTACTCACAGATAGGCCATCTTCAATCATTCCGACAGCAGCTGAACTTCATTAGTTCTCTGGTTTGTCATTGTATCTATTGCTGTTCTTGCTTTAATTAAAATCATGTATTTTTGAATGCCTACTTACTGTATACAGATACGTAATTTACATAATTTAATGATTTTTAACCCAACTCAAATACCAAACACTGAGCACCTGGAATTTTTATGAGCTCATTATTATTTTTTACCAAGGAACACTCAATGGATTAATATGCTCACTGATTAAAATGTAAATAACGTGTCCAATGAACAACAGTAAAATCTATAAAATGTATATGCATATATCTATTGTATAACAGAGTATTAGTAATTAACAGAGTAGAGTTAGTAATTAAAAAAACATTATGTGAAAACTGAACAATGAAATTACAACTGAAATGAATTTACAACATAAACTGTACACAAGCTACCACAGAGATAGTAGTCAGACTGAGTCAGTTCAGTGTCTTCTGGTACTGTATGTACTACTATTTGTTCAGATGGATCTCATGTGTGTGAATACCAAATTACACTGTTCCACAGGAAACATTCTTATAATACACCATGTTTAGTTGAAGCAGAGATATAATATACAGTTCATCAGTAAACTAAATATAAAATATATAAATAAACTCTGTTTCTTTGATGGAAAGCCATGTACACTAACTGTATCGAGATCCTGTTCAGGATAACAGGAATACAGTAGAAATAGAAAATGTAGAAATACGTTTGCCAAAATACATGAAAAAAACCTATAAACCTGAAATAACCTATAAAAATGACATTTATTTGTGTGCCAAGCTCAAATGTTATACTACAGTATGCTAAAGAAAACTCAAAAGATTTTAGATTAACTGCAGGCTTATAAATCACTTTGTAATGCTGCTTAAGTTTCCATGAACTAGGTGGTCTTTGTGTATTTCTGTAATTAAACTGTTAGTTAGTCACCTCCTACTGCACATAATGGGTCCTAACTCATACTCATACAGTAACTCATATTCTATTCTCCTCCCTACTGGTTCAGTAACTTATGGGTGTATACTGGAGCACTCTGGCTGCTGTCACATCATCCAGGGGGAGGGGAGTCCCCATTACCTGTATAGCGCTTCGAGTGGAATCTCCTGAAAAGTGCTATATACTGTAAGTGTAAAGATTATTTATATTATTTATTATGGGTAGAACATGTCTGACATGGAACTGTTTCAGTCGGTGAACTCCAAAGCGTGTTATGTTACAACATACAGTAGTGCTGTAGATTTACAGACTTTTACTAAATCTTTCTGTATCTTTCTTCTCTGTTTTCAGTTCTGAGGGAAAATATTTTAGACTATATGAAAATGCATGAATGAAAGAGTTGTAAAATCCATATAACGTTCAACAATGCGTGGAGAAAAGATAAGAAAGGAATTGAATGTTGTAAACAAACTATCTTATGGAATCAAGGTCTCGAAATTCATTTTAAAAGCCCCGAGCTGCCAATATAACTGCTATGAATTCTAAAAGCGACATTTCATGAAATAATTTTCATACAGTAGGTCTCCATTTTTCACTTGGCATCACATATCATTCATTTCAATCATTTTAACATTAAAATATCTCTAACTCTAGGTTTTAAAAAGCTCGGCAAACCACATTGTAATAAATGGCTAAAGGTGGTAAATAAAAACATTGTTATTGAAAGTACCCAGAGAAACAGATGGAGATACAAAATTAATAATAAATTCAAAAGCCAACTCTTCTTAGGAAAGGATAAATAATACAAAGAAAAAAGCTCCAGTTCAATACAAAAAATCCTATAACAGCACCCTGTGCTGAAAAATTGGAATGTTGAATTATACTGAAATCACAATTCATGAATGAAAATGTAGCTGTTTAATGATTTTTAATCACCCCTTAATTCACACAGCACAAAAAAAACCTAGCAAAGCTTAATTATTTGCACCTTTACAGTGAAAGCCAGTGGATTCTCCTTTCTCACACAATGTACACACTGAATGATAGTGATAACGGTAAAGACAATTTAAAAGCCACTGAACACCCAGTATTGCTCAAGTGTATGGTATAAATTGCTGTCCCCACTGTCAATTTCACATCAGGTAGTGACTATTTTTGCATGACCAGCCAAATCTTTTCTCATCCTTTTCACTTGAATGAGCCCATCCTAAACCTCAGAGAGTTCTGAGGCTGCTCCTGTAATAAACAGCACAGTGAGGTCTGCGTGTAATACACAGGATTCTGGGCTTCTGGCAAATAAAAGACAGGATTGACTCAGATCCACCACAGGAGAAAATGAAGGTACAGTAGCTTCTCTCTGATTGGTCACTTTGTAGCTGGGCAGAAGAAGGCAGAGTGATGAAACTGTCAGCTCTTCTGTAAGCTGCTAGCTGAGCCTTAAAAGTACATGCAAATCAGCTGTAAGTATCATGTCAAGACCCAAACCTCTAGGGAAAACGACATACGCATTCCTAAAAGGCAAACACTGGCATATCTGTTCACTTCTCATCAGCCTGGAGAGTAAGTGGACAGCTATATGACCAAGAAAAAGGAAATTTTAGTCATATAAATAGAACACTGATTTATCACCCCTGTATTTAGCTAGCTTGGCACTTCGTTAAAAACACAAATGCCATCCAGCTTCCCAACTTTACCTAAACGCTTAACAAGTGAAACAAGTCAAGAGGCATGTACTGCAGCTGTTGAGAGGCACCAATGAGGGCTAATTTGCAGATTCTGGATTCTTTTTATTTCACCCTGCTTTCTCATAATGCTGCATAGTGGAACAGTATTTGAAAAACTATCATCCCAGGTTGTTCTCTCACTTATTTCCTCAAAATGCTCTTAACTGTCAGGGCAGGTGCTACAGCTGTTGTGCATTTAAGTGAAGCCAGAGTTGAAAATTATAATAATTCATCTCTTTTGCTATAGAGTCAGGAGTTCCAAGAGGTTTTAAAATAATACAAAAACAGAAGAATCTGGACTGGCTTCAGGCAATTCTCAGCACAGAAAAAGAATA